GGAAYTCCTTGTTTTCCTCCCCATGAGAGATGCGGAGCCGTGCAGGAAAAAAGCAAGCCATAGCGAACATCTCGTCGGTTGCGAAGGAGCCTCCTCACCTCTGTAAACGCCGCTCGAGCCCTGGCAACAGCCGCCGTCTAGTCAGATGTGATGATGATCGGCGCCTCCTTAAAACGAAGATGGCCGCGGGTCCGCGCTCGACATAATATTTCCACACTTTCTTGATAATAGTGCAGCTTAGCGACAATAACCCACGGCTTATCGCCTGACCTTTTTCCACCTGGAGAGCGATGGGCTCGGTCCACCAGTGGCTCTTTATCATCTGTAGAACCTCTGCTAGCAGTTTAGCCACTGCTAAAGTGGAGCTGGATTCTGGCGTCTCAGGAATTCCAATAATCCGCACATTGCACCTTCTCATGCGCCCTTCCATTTCGTCATACTTCTTTTGGAGCCCATCAACTTCTTCTTTCAGTTCCAACACGGTGGTGCGCAGAGCAACCACCTCATCTGACCATGTTGACAGGCCGTCCTCCACCTCCTTAACGCTCTGCTTAAGGTGGTCTAAGTCAGCACGAAGTAGCATCATGCCGTTAGCTACTTCAGCTCTCACCGCTTGTAACTCTCCTTTAATAAGAGTAAACTCTTCAGCCAAAGCCGCTTTTATTTCGGATTTGATCACAGCTGAGAGRTCGGTTTTTATAGCGGCAAGAATGTCCGACTTCAAGGAGAGTGCGTCCACCTCGCTGCGGGAGGGAGAAGGGGGTGCCGAAAATCCAGTTTTAGCTGCAGTCTGCTCCGAGGCGGCATCGGGCCTAACAGCCGCAGAGCTGGAATGTTTGCCTTTCCTCGAGTTTGTCGCCGTTCTTCTACTTTTCCAGGCAAGAATCACTCAGGGGTCGAGTCCGGACAGACCAAATGCTCAAAATAGCAAGGACATTTAGTAGAGAACCATAGAATGAGCAAGTCGGAGTGGGAGCCCACGCCACACACGACTCACTCCTCCGCCATCTTGCCCCGCCCTCCACAACTAAAACCGTTTTTGACACCGCCACTGTAGTTTGTCCTTCATGAACCTTTGTAGACAAGATGTCGGTGCAAGATGGCGGCTGCCTGTACTGGCGACCCGCAACCACGGAGATATAAACAGCTTTTTGTAAGGTAAAAATAATAATGGTAAATGGACTGTACTTATATAGCGCCTTTCTATCCATCCAGGACACTCAAAGCGCTTCACACTACAGACATTCACCCATGCACACACACATTCACACACTGATGATGGCAAAACTACATTGTAGCCACAGTTGCCCTGGGGCACACTGACAGAAGCGAGGTTGTCATACACAGGCGCCACTGGACCCTCTGACCACCATCAGTAGGCAAGTCGGGTAAGGTGTCTTGCCCAAGGTCACAACGACTGAGTCAACTGGACGGGGATCGAACTGGCGACCTTCCGATTCCAGGACGACTCCCCTAACCACTCTACCACAGCCGCCCAAAATAATAAAATAATAAAACAAGGTATTTGTCTGCAATGATTGGACATGTTTTTTATTATTGTCATTAGTGATTATCTCAATTTCGGCTAAAAGAATTGACAAAATCCTACACACTGTACCTTTAAGAAATCCAGGTAGAAAAATGTTTAAAAAAAATAAGTAGTTCCTCTGGACTGGTTCTTTTTTTTTTCACTTCAGTTAGTTTATTAATTTCTTTAAAAACACAACATAAATTCAACATACAACAAAAAAACAAATCATAAATGAAATGAAAGGTAGCAGAAGAAGATAACATCTTGTTATATATGTCCCTTTTTCTCAAATAAATAAATTAAATCAAAAATAATCTTTAGTTTATAAAAAAGAAAAAGAAAACTACAAAGGTTTAACTCCTTGAACAACAATACATTTACATATTTCTCCAGCAAATTATTCTTTATCATTCTGAAGAAATTTTGTAACTGATTAATTGAATATTAGATTCATTTTGTATTTTATACTTTCTGATCATTTCAGTCTGTAAGGTTGAAGCTGACAAAGAGTTGGTGTATGTGTGTTATCATGTGTTCTTTCTCCTAGCCTAAACAAAACTGAGTGACTTTCTGACGTCTGACGTAAAAGGTAACACCTCCTGGGGTGTAACCAGGAAGAGGTGTACTTTAATAAGCTGAATTCATTACTATAGTAGAGGAAAGTTGTCAGGGTGTTAGAGTCTCTGCTTCTGAGCAGAGCTGCTCTGCTGTGTTTGGGTTTTCTTGATTTGGCCCAAGGTTGTACGCTGAGGCCTGTGCTGCTGAGCCCTGAATGAACCTGATTGGAGTCGGACTGAAAATAAAATTTTTAACAAGAAAACCAGCTGTGGGGGGGGCGGCACTGATTGGTGGGCCTGATGGATCGAGCTTCATCAGAGCTAAAGAAAAAAGAAATCTGAAGCTCCTATGTTTAATAGTTTTTTAACCATTTTATATGTCCACATAACCCTTTTTCAGATTAATTGGGGGTCCGGGGGGGGGGGGGRCACTTATTGGTGGGCCTTAATGGATTGAGCTTCATCAGAGCTAAACAACAAAAAAAAATCTGAAGCTCCTATGCTTAATAGGATTTGTCTAAAAAAATTTTTGATGTGTTTATTTTTTTTCTTGATTGTAACTATTTCATTCATATGAATTGTGAAAATGGATAAATGGTCACTTACATCAGTGATCAAAATACCTCCATTACTTCACCATTTGTTATATTTGTGAAAACATTATCAATTATTGTAGCACTGTGGGTTGTGATTCTTGTAGGTTTTGATATCAATGGATACAGATTAAGAGTGTGCACTGAGTTGTACAAATATTATTTGAATCCGTTTTTTGTCAATATTAAAATCTCCACACAAATTGTTCTGTTAGAACAGTTTTCCAATAATTCTATGATTTTATCAGTGAATGTCTGTGAATTTGATCCTGGTGATTGATATACACAGCTTATTAACAAATTAGTAGAATTCTTATTTATTTCGATTGTTATTATTTCCATAATATCATCTAAAATTAGTGACTTTTTATTCTTTAAATTACATTTTATTTCTTTCCTTGTTAATAGAGCCACTCCACCCCCTCTTCTATTGCATCTTTTCGTGCTGTACGTATTATACCCTTCAATGTGAATGCTACTTGTATGTTCTTTATTTAACCATGTTTCTGAAAGTGCTATAATATTAAATTTTCTGGTTAGTTGTTTCTAATAATCTGTTATATTGGATAAATTTGCATGTACACTCCTACTGTTAAAATGTATGATGGAGAGTCCACCTTTTGCTATATTTATTAAATTGCTCTGTATTTTATTTGCTCTCTTTGATTGTGGGAAAAATTGAATCAATCATTAGTTAGTGATTAGTTCTTCTTGTGCAGAGTCCTCTATGGTTTTTATGTTTCCTGCAACTCGAGCATAGGTCTGGTGTTTGGTGTCAAGTCCAGTGATTAACAATACCAGACGGTATATTGTTCCAATTCATCCACTTTTTGTTTTTGTTGTTCAATTATCTTTTTGTCTCGGTCACTTACTGCAACATTCAATCGCTTCACCTCTTCAAACAGCCCCATCAAAAGTTCCTGCTGTGAAGCCACTCTTGTCAGTTCTCCACTCATAAAATCAAAGATTTTTTTTAAATTCCTCCATATTGTCTTCTGAGTTGTTCACTGCCGAAGCTGAGCCTCTTCCCAGACCGCGTCTCATCATGACTCACCCGGGCCTGTCCCGGCAACAAACACGTCCCCACATCAACGTACCCGATGTCCGTAGCTCCGCAGGTAGGCCGACTACACAGGCCTGGTGGTTGTAGCTTCTGGGTGTAGCCGAATGCATTGGAGAACTGCCAGCTTGTGGCCCAAGCTGATAGCAACCGCAGTGGTAGCCGGTGGCCCGCGGGTTGAGCCGATGGTGATGGCGGTTGGCTTGGCTGTTAGCCTGCAGGCCGAGTCGATGGCAGTGGTGGCGGTTTAGCCGCTAGCCTGCAGACTGAGTTGATGGTGAAGGTGGTGGTCCAGCCGTTAGCCTGCAGGCTGAGCTGATGTCGATGGCGGTGGTCCAGCCGATGGTTCAAACCGCCTCCGTTCCCGCTTGTTGATTTTTCAGTCCTTATTTCTTTTGGTCGTCAGTAGTTTAATAAACAACCCTCAGTTTGTAGATTTACTCTTAATTCAAAAGTCTGGACGGAGGCTAAATTTTCAAAATTTGATAATATGTTCTTCACAACTTTAAATTTAAATCCAATTTCAGAGACATCTTCATTGTTATAAGTCAAGTGCACTGAAGTAGTGTGCAGAAGCAAAAGTAACACATTGACAACACAGAAGAGCGCGCACACACTTCATTTTGCAAACATGCTGATTCAGTTCTAGAAGTATGACATGAGGAATGAGGCTTTTATTGTGGTTTGATCAAACAACCATCACTGACTGAGATGGGGTACAGAGTCACTTATCAGCTCAGGTCATATACTGCAGATGTTTATCTCTCTCAGGATATATGAGAGTGTCACCTCAACAAGCTCTGGTCGTTAGGACCTGACATACGAGCTTTCATTTTACCTGAAGAAACTGGCAGCAGGGGATTCTGAAGCAGCTGAAGTTTACCACTGTTGCTTAACAAAGTAAATCTGAATGGTAATAAGAACATTACATTAGGAGATGAGTGTTTAAATCTAAATTTCTGCTTTTGAAACAATGAAGCCTGCAGTTCTGTTCATCACGGTTAAACAGCTGGTGATCATAGATAAAAATAAAGTTTTTTCTCTGGTTACGTACAACCAATTCATGAAGAACTAACTTTAGTAGCATTAAAGGCTTCACTAACACCTGCCAGAAATAGATTTCATTCCAAGCTTGAACGTCTTGCTACATTTCTACTTGTTTTTAGTGATGTTGTATAAACATTAGGAGATGAGTCATTTTAAAGGATTTTGCAGCCTTTTTAAAACTTATTTATTTAAATATCTATCTCTGCTTACAGGTAATTCCTCAAGCCAGTGTGGGTGAAGTTCATCATGCCATTCGCACAACTTTCCAAAGGGTGAACGACTTCTTCATCCCTCCAACTAACCTCATCATAACTCATGTGAGGTAAACAATCAATTTTTTGACCTGACTTAGAGCCATTATTTTAATTTAAAAGAAGAAATATGGAAATTCCATGTTTCAGTAAAAAAAAAAAAACTTTAAACTAACATCTCTCTTAAACTTTGTGTAGGTTTGCATTTGTCTTCCTAAAGAATGAACCTGCGGTGCACAAGATTGATCTGGAGACCTTCCATCGTGTCAAAACTATCAGCTTGAAGAATTATAGCTGCATACCAGCCAGCATGGCCTACACACACCTGAGTGGCTTCTACTTCGTTCAGTGCCAGCGCAAGAGCCTTCTGCACGCTCCATCCCAGCTCCTCATCGACAGCGTGACAGACACAGTGATCGGTCTGAACTCAAATGTCACGGGACAGGCTTACGTGTCACCAGACGGCCGCTACATTGTGACACCTGACCCACAGAGCCCAAAGCTGACAGTACAGACAGTGTCATTCCAGGGGGAGCTGAGTCTCAACCAGGAAATACATGAGCCCATAAGCATCTCTGATCTGGTTTTCCAGCCCTCCTTCACGGAGTCCAATCAGCATGTAGTCGTGGCCACCTCGGGGTCAGGCACAGACTTGCTGTTTGCCGATTTGTCATCAGGCCGCACCAAGATACTGCAAAGCCTAAAGGAGCCCCTGACCCCCCAGTCCTGGCCCTGGGGAGGCCCCAACAGAGTGGTGGTCTCCAGTGGGTTGTTTGGACAGTACCTGGTAACACCATCAGTAGAGTCCCTCTTTGTTGTGAACGGCAAACAGAGAACGCCACATTGCGAGGTATCAGACATAAAAAGAGCAAACACAGTTGTCTGGGTTGGCGAGGTATGAGTAAAAACAAACAAAATAAAAACATTAAAGGAAAAAAAGAGGAGACTTAGAATTAGTGAAATGCATTAATGGGGTAAAAAAGGAAGAGAAATCAGGCCAAATTATCTATTAAGATTTATTTGAACCTAAGTTGTAAACCCAGCCCTGGGACTGAGTGAGAGGAAAACATGTCTGGGTTTGCTCCAACAAAAGTACACAAAAATAGAATCAATGAGAAAATACTTAGAAAATCTTTTGTGATATTTCTATTGGGAGAAAGTGTCAATGCTGTTCAGTGCAACAGTGATCTATGTGCACTTAACTATACAGAATTGTACATTATTGCACTTCCTTCCATTTTATCACAGCAAATAGGTACCTGAAGAGGCGTAATTAAACTACAAACTATGCACAATGCTCACTTTTTTTTTTAGAATTAAAAGCTTTCCAGTTTTGTTTCTTAACAATGTCTGTTTTCACCAGTGCTGCATATAGTCACCACAAACTGTCTGTCTTGTCTGCCTTTAGTGTGTAGTATTCTGAGTCTTTTAAAAGCTAACAGCAGCATCTGTTGACTCGCCTTTGTCATGGTATTGTACTGTACTCTCTCTGAAAGCTTTCATTCTCATGCTGGCAGAAGTTGGCTTTATGCACTTGTGTAATTCCCTCCATTTACTTTGTCTATCCAAAGAGCCCAATCGGTCCATTGGTCATCAACAATAGATGTTTCAGACACCGAGGAAATGAAAGTACATCCTCTGGTCTCTTGAAATGGTATAATTCATCCCCCTGCTGTCTCTTACATTTACGCAGAACCAGTATCACAGTTTTGTGCTGCAAAGCCTAAAAATGCCACTTATTCCATTTAGCAGATTCCCTCAGGGTAATGGCTCTGGTTTGCGCTGCCCCATATGCTGAGGTTAAGCCAAAGCAGCATCAACTATGGTATCTGATGGGCTGTGAGCATTTGTGTATCCTCTCAGAGAGGAGTTAATCAAAAAATAACATTTTATCTAATGTAGACTGATACTGCTACCTGTTAACTACAAGCATAATTTTAATAGATTGTCTCATCATCCATTAAAACTTGGTACATAGGACTGTTTTAGTAACTCTAGGAGTACATGGCAAACAATTAAGATGTGTATTTAGTGTTGTTCAAAATTTTCTGTTCATACTCATGAAAAAAATCTGTCTCCTAAGCAGTAACTGAACAAACACCAGCAACTTCTCATCTATTAGAATAGCACATATTCTGTGTTTGAACTGTACCATCCTTGGTGTAATTGTGTTTTTCCACTTGCACTAATCATCACAATGATGAGTCATTAGCAGCAAGACAACACTGCAGTTTCTTCAGTAGTAATAATGACTGGAACAATAATGTCTCTAAGCATTTTTACTCTCAACAGAAGGCTGGCCTACTCATAAATGCTCAGCTTGGACAATATTCATAATGGCTTTCATACGTTGAACTGAAGTGGCTGTTGGGTCATTTTACTCTTCCTTCAAAGCACCAGATGCAACATTTGTCTAAAAACTGGTTCTAATGTAAAAAATCTTCACATATACAGCTGCTTTTCTTATTTAGAGAATTAAAAACAGTTTTTTTTAACTGCAGCAGTAAATTCTTATACTACTTGTCAAGATTTTATATACTTTTGCAAATAATTGCCTTGTTTAGGACTATTCTAGCCTGGTTTAAACCAGACCCTGTCCTTCACTTTGCTTCGTACAAGGGTCTGGACTTGAAGCKTTTCTTGCAGGAGGCGTGGCCTCTGCTGAAGTTTAAAATGATTGGATGGTTTGGCCGCAAGTGCAAGCTCCACAGTGAAGGAGGCTAAGCTAAGAAGCTAATCGGAAATCGCATGCGCTGTAAACAACCCTATTGAAAGGAGAAAAGTACGGAGCCAAACGAGACGACTGTAAATGAGAGCTGCTGCTTTGTCACACAAATTTAATTTAATTTGGAAGCCTTATCATCACGGACTGGCTTCATGCACTACACTGCCATATGCTAAACTAACTAGCAGACACTGCGCAGAACATCAACGTCTTTCAAAATTCCACCTTCTGTTTGCTGATTGGCCCAGGCAAAATAAACTACAAGCAGACACTGCGCAGAAAATTGACGTTCTCTTCTCTGATTGGCACGGCTAAAAATTTGCCAGCGAAATCCATCTCAACGGGAGAAGTCCCAGACGGAGCAGTGAAGGGAAACTAGAATTGAGTGGAGCTGCGTAGGAAGGCAAGGGACAGGCTAGGACTATTCACCAAAAAATTTAGAAATAAAGTATATTTAAAGTCAAAAGCAACACAATGGGCCTAATGCAACAGCTATTCAGTTGCTTCAATATAGAACCATACATTGTCTAAAACTGTCATTCATTCATATAACTGTTTTCTTAAAGTAATGATTTATGCATTTGCCCATCATCATCTTGATCTGTTTTTTATTTATTTATTTATTTTTTTTTGCTAGAGTTGATCGTTTTAAGCATGACCTAAAGAGTAATACTTGAAACCTGACAGGATAAAAAAATACCTCTTTTGTAGATGTATTTTCAGCATTTATTTTATTTTGAATCAATCACCAGCAAAATGAGCTAAGGAAATCTAATTACCTAACGACGTCATAAAAATGTTTCTACAGTAGGTTATTACAGAAATTGTCAAATGCAGGTTTTATTTATTTATTTAAAACCACAAACCATTGAATACAGCTGACATTGAGTGTAGACTAAAGTTGCAATGCCTTAATTTCAGTATATTTATATAATACATTTTGCTAAATGAATAAAGTGATGTAGCAATGGTTTTAAGTGAATAAATCAAATTAATTTTATTCTACATTCTTTATCAATGAGAAAATCTTATCTGCTTATTATTTTTTACAACTAAATAGCTTTCCAGTTTGTTTAGACACTGCTGATCATTCTAAGAAATTTACAAAAGCAAGATGTAACAATGCTGTAAGTTGCTGTTGTTGCAAATTTATCAGATGATGGCATGAAATGTTTATATGCAAATGATCAGCTCATTGTTAGATCACAAATACTCACAGCCTTTGAGATTTTGCTGTTGCTGTTTTTTTTGTTAGTAGGAAACTATTCAACTCATAATGTCCACTTAAGATTTCAAAGTCCAGTTTTAGTGTGTCTAGTTAAAAATATAGAACCTGCCCCTAAGTCACAATCAATACCCTAAATTAAATATTAATCTTTAGCTTTTAATGACTAATTGTAAGAGAATGCAATGCGTAGGGATAGACACCAAAAAAACAACACAACACTCCTGTGTTTTTATTATTATTCGTTCTTGTTTGTGATGTCAGTCAACATAAAAATAGAAACCTGTCTGACTCTTTTTGAGAGTACTGACACAGTTGTTGATAATGATTCTTAGACCACTGTTGCACTGAGGAGAGAAATATTTATTTGACTACATTTATGCTTTGTCTATGAAAAATATGGTCTCTGCTTCCTAAAGTCACGATCCAATCCAAAGTTGCTCCCTTGGTGGCCTAAATAACTCCTACCATATTGGGCAGTGCCGACATGCATGTAATGAAATAAATCTTGAACATCGAAGCGATCTCTCACATTTACCCACAGCTGACAGTATCTTGTGAAAAAGTCATTGCCCTGCCCTTACTTTGTCACATCTGTCCATCCAGCAGTAAGACACCACAACTACAGCCAAGGAAAGCAAGAGCAAAGACACTGCACCCGTGTTTGCTGATAATATAGGCTATTTTGTGTGGATCTACTCTGAATGTCACATAACTATTTCTGTACCTCTCTTTTACTTTGAAGTAAGGAGCTGCAGAACTGTACCGATTGGTGTGGTAGTAGGAACCATTGTTGTAGATAACATTGTTCATGTTTAGAACATGTTCAGACATGACATAAAACTGACTGTACAGTTTTCTTTATGCATTTTGTGTGTTATTGTTTATGAGGGAATTGTTTTGTAAGAAAAAAAAATGGAAATAAATATATTGTTAAAATCAATATGTGATGCCTTGCAATAATTACTTATTGACTACTTATCTAATATTTGCAACCATTCACAGAAGGTAGTTAAAATGAGTCCGTAGCTTAAAAGGTTTTGAAAATGAATTAATGGAAATACTTATGGTAATCTTTTCAAACACCTTTCATTATAATACTAAGACACATTCCTTTCATTATAATACTAAGACACAAAGTTTGCTTAAAAAGTTAATAATCCATTGTTAAAATTGGACAATAAATTGACATTTTCCTCTTTGTGTCATACTATTAAACAGTTCAACGTAAAATGTTTTCTCTCCAGAGGTTTGAATTGCTCATTCCTAGAAATGACAACATGTCGCATTAGTAACACACAAACCCGAATGAACAATAATTAAAATAGTTTTTAATTTACAGTAGAACTGCTACTATAACATCAGCTCCTGACAGGTGAAGTAAACAAATTATCTTGGACCTTCTGGCATTTGTGGATGTTCCTCTGAGATCATTCACACTGCTGCAAAAAAAATCATAAACTTAAATTAAAATTAAACATATTTAGTTCATCATCGGTGCATGTTCCCATACAATGACAAGATGTGTGCTCTGCATTTGACCCATCACAGGTGGGACTCAGCCAAGTATAACAGTGGGCAGTTATTTGCGCACCCAGGAAGCAGTTAGGGATTAGGCGTCTTGCTCAAGGACACTACAACATGTGAACATGGCAAGGAACGTATGACTTTCTGGTCCTAAGTCAGCTGCCCTTACCACTGTCCCACAGCTGCCCCCCTCTGGTTTTGGGCAATCCACCAAAGAGTCCAGAAAGTTAACTCAACTTCCAAAACTATCAAACCACATTTTAACATAATTTTAACAACAACATTTAGAAACGCACGTTTCTAAAATGCTAAGTGAATCACTTGGAAGTCGGTGAGGGAAACATTCCTACACAACAGGTGGTTAATTTAAAATGTATGTACCTATTCTGCTGTTAAACTCCACAGTTTTGCCAACAAAACTGACAGAAAAAACAAAGGTTACAAATTTGAGTTCATCTGCACCTAATTAAATCCAAGCTCCTCTCGGACACCTTTCTGCAAAGTAAGTACTTCATTTTTAATTCCCAGGAAAATTACAAGTACACATATAAAACAAAACATTTTCTAACCCTAATTAAAACTCTTGAAATTACTCCTGACAAAACAGTCTTTGTCCAAACAATATGTGGTTTAACAGCCTCAAATACTGGATACCACCCAACCTCAGTCCAGTCTTTTTACAACCAGCTGTAATGAACTTGTGTCAAGACAAATAAGCAGAGTGAATATTTGGTTTTCTCCTCCTTGCTGAAAAATACATTTTTGGGTGCTGGTTCCAATGACTTTGCTCCTTCTAGTCTGCACACTCCCTGAGCTGAAACTTTTGACAGAACTATAAACTACAGATTTGTTTTACCTCAATGATAAAAAAATATTTGAACTGATTAAAAAATGAAGTTCGATACAAAGTAGTGAGCTATAGTTAGACTTGTTCACATTTTCTAAATACACCTAAAAGCCAGTAAATCACAATTTTTTTATTTGTATCTGTGTTTAACAACTCATTTGTAATTACAAGAATAATTACAAATGGTAAAGTATTTGTTCCATTCTTTTGCAAATGTTCATACAGCAAACAAACAAAAATCATAGTTCCCAAGTTTAAATGTTAATTAGCTAACAAAAAGACAGTGAATATTTCCTCTTCTAAAAGAATTACTTTATATGAGTGATAATGAAGGCAGCATGGCATGCACCTTTTGTGTCTTCCCACCTTTATGGCCACAGTGAGTCCATGAGGTTAACTCCACTTCTTAGAAGACAATGAAATCTATTGTCTTTCTGGGCTCAACACAATCCAACAATCTATGGCCATTACTGACAACACGCTCATACCAAAGGGGCAACATCAATACGCTCTCCATCAGTGTCAGAGTGACAGAAAAGGGTGAATGAGAACAAAAGACTTCCCAGAGCCAAACATCAGAGAGGAAAGAGAATTTGATCACACAAACAATTGCCATCTTGTTCACAGCGCCTCAATTTCCCACGACTCAGGGCAGAAAGAAAGGCACAATCTGTTATCAGCCAGACCACAGAATGATCAAGCCTCGCGGCATCATGTACATATCTGTAGCTAGAGCTATAAAATAAGTCAATTTGGTTAGGGTTAGGATTGGAGCTGGGGTGGAGGGGAAACTGGCATAGTGCTGGCCTYTGCCCTGTCTTCTTCCCCATTTTAATTGCATTGTAGAACATCACACATCAACAGTACATCTGAGGGTGGCGGTGTGTGTGTGTCGGGGTCTTTTTTTTACTCCCCCCGTTCCCCGTTGGCCGTCTGGGGATGGGGTCCTGGGGGGTGGGGGCTGACCGTCTGGTGGGGCCTGGGCTGCGGGCGGACATGGGGCTTGGAGGGGCTCTGGAGGCAGGGCTGGTGCTCTGGCTTCCCTGGGGCCGTTCGGGCTCCCGGAGTCTGGCTCCTGGTTGCTGTGGTTGGCCCGCTAGCTGGGGTGGCTGCCGGGGCCTGGGGATGGTCGGTTGGGGGTGGGCTCCTGGCCATTGGTAGGGTGTGAGTGTGGTCTGGGGCATGGCTTTGCTGGGGCGGGGGGCTGGTTGATTGGACTGGTGCGGCCCGAGCT